TGCGATCGCATACTGTTTTTGTGGACGTTGGCGCATAGTAACGGCTCAGATGACGGCCCACACGGCATGACGAGATCCACGTCCACCTCAGACGGTAGCGTGTACCCATCCGAGCTTGAAGCAATCGGTCAACTGTTCCACAGTCTCACATGCACACGATGATCGTCTAATTCCACGCCCGCAGTTAGCCACTTTCGCTGACTCCATCGAAAGACTGGCGAGCTCTCGAATCGAATCGAGATCGTGACGATGTCTAGAGACACGCAAGGGGTGAAGATTCTCAGTATAGATCATGTCATTGGCTTGACCTTAGAGTGTGTGGCTGCTGCTCAGATCATCATCAGACGAATCTTACACTCGAGAGCCCCATTAAGAATACCGTACGCTACAGCGCCGGCCGCGCTCTGAGTCGCAGTGATGAGCAAAGGACAAACACGAGAACCTATAGACTCTGCATCCTTCATGGCGCCCTAGTGCCGAACGCCAGACAGAGTCGAGGTCTTGTGTCTATCGCATACGGGGGCGCAATGTCTTACCCATTGACGGCTGCTCGAAACTCACCCGGTCCAACGGCTTCTGCATCTCTAAAGCTCGCTCTCTTTGCTGCTCTAGACGGGTGGAGGCTCGTAGATCTTTGCGGAGCTAGCGCAATCAGTGTCGCGCTTTACTCGCAGGCGCCGCGTTGTGGCGTGCGCATGCCATCGTCGACCGCAAGGACGAGGTGCTGCCCAGTTATTGCACCTAACAGCCCATGCTCCTCACCCAGCACGCACTCCTCTCCTACGCTGACTATGCAACTACGTTGGCGTTGAGACCTGTGACGTCGTCGGCACATCTGCTTAGGCGATATAGCGACCTCATGATCCTGTCGTGTTGTATTACCCAGTACTGCCGTACACTTCAAGAAGTTGGGACAGAGTAATACAGTTGCTCGACCGCATTGCTGATTGACGAGCTCGACACCTGTTGCGCGACGTGGCGCCGTGTCAACTCCTCCATAGAATCTCCGACGTCTTGTCCAGCGAAATTTGAAGCGGCTGTCGCGTAGCAGCGCTTGGTCCATGGGACGTCGCTGGAGCCTGTTTTTTTCATCGTGCGGGAGCAGAGATTCGAGCGCCATTCCGAGATGGAACGTCCTGTTCCAAAGGTCGCACCCTTGCTCGGTCTCGTTTGTTTGGCCAGCCCTGAAATGGCATGCGTTCCCACGTAGCACGACTGGCATCGACAAGTCGCACAGTTCGTACCTGCTCTCTCATGTCAACGGCAACAACAACAACACACATTTGTGGCGTTCCCCGGGCTATCTACAGGTCCTTTCCAGCGGGTGGTCTTGCGAATTCCTCTCGAACCGCGTCAGCGCCATCCACGTCGCATCGACTAGTACATGGGCACAATCACGTGACGGAGAGCCGCGTGCTTATTCCCTACGGGAAGACTCTCTTTTACGGGAAGACTCTCTCCTACAAGAAGCGAATGGAACAGCCGGCGGAACATGGAGTGCCCTCGCATGCCTTGGTTCTGGCGAGCGGGAAACTCGCGACAGGTCGTCGATCGTCACGATGCTGGAACTTGTCGAAGAGCTCCGTAACAGACGTCAATCGATTCAACGTTTGCGAAAAGATCGGAGCTTGGGCCTGAGCGCTGTTGTGCTTTCGTAGTGAGCGTAAACCAAGAGGCGAGGCACCGGGAAGACCCACATGGACTGGAAGGAACTTTTTTTCGTGGCGTCGCCGGCTCTTCCTGCCATCGCAAGTCACAGAACGTGTGCGAAGTCGCAGGTTCAAGTGGACTGCACATGCACTCGTGCGTATGGCCGCATGTTCATAGGTTCAGTTGTGTTGCGTGGCTCTAATCCACGTTCCGTCCGATGCCCTACAGCTTCATGCCAAACTCTCTCTCTCTCTCTCCTAATGCTTAGCATTTACTCACTAGGCGTTCGACGTCGACCGAAAGCGACGTGCAATAAGCGACAGTGCGTAGAAGAAATAGCCTCAAGGTCGCGCCTCGTGCAAAGGGATCACCGCCTTTACAAGACGTGACAAGTCATGTCGCGTTATGCGAGACACACGAGCTCGTCGCATTACGCGCTGCGGGTCAGACGCTGATCGGATGCGAGCAGACGCTTCCAATTCTTCGTAAGCTGCTGGCGCTGGTCAGTCGCATGCAGCGCCCGACCACGTTGCTGCCTTTCTCCTTCCCCGACCGCACGGCCTCGACAGAGCCAGCACCAGGTGACGATCACCCAGCAGATGGGCAGCGCCGTCCGCGTTTACAGCGACACGACAGTGTGTCTCTTTCAGCCCTATCTGTGACAGTGATTTGCGAGCGCGTCGCGTCGCGTCAACACCTCGCGAGCGTGCACTTCGAACCCGACGGCGGTACCGTAAGCGGAGACCACGTGGCTCACAGCAGTCCGCAGAACCTGCGGCAGATGGCAGGATGCGCTCATCGAACGACTGGGTTGGCAACGATTCCTGCAGCCAAATCCATCGCCTCAACTGGTTCGCGTGAGACAGTCAGATGTGCTCGTGCTTGAAGGTGAGCGACCCATCGTCTCGTTGGCGCGTTGTCTCCTTCGTCGTGCTTAAAAGATGCTGGGTGAGGCGCGGGGCTGCAACATCCGGCTGGCCATCGAGCCAGAGCCTGGTCTCGTTTTCTTCATCGCCATTGATTACCCGGCCAGTCTGCCATCGCTCGCTCCTCAGCAATACGTTGGTGTGCTCTCTCCACGAGCCCCGTTTAACGACTTGAACCACGACACGCATGGCAAAGATGCTGCCGCAAGGCTAAAAAAAACGAGGCACCTTTTCGGTCGCGATGGTACCACGAGGAAGCAGCCGCGATCCCAGCGAGCCTTCCTCCGTCGATCGACGTCACTCACAATCGACATTTGCCTGCCAGCATCGCTGGACAACCCACGGCTCAATGGATTCGTGCCACGTTCGTCAAGTCACGAGCAGCTCTAATCATTACGTTTGGGACAGTAGGGGGGCACGCTCGAGAGAATTGGGACACGGTGTCAATGGCCTCGCGCGGCTATCCGTCGGACGCCAGACGATCCAGCTTGAATCGTCGTCATCTGCTCGTCAAGAGGGTGGATCGTCCCTGGACGAAGCAGATTACCATGTCGAACCATCGCAAGCAATTGCGCTCCCAGCTGCTGGTCTGAAGCGTTTCTGTACGACCACTGCGTGCGTCAATTCGTTGTCCTCTTGTTTATTTTATCGACTTTTCTCTGCGGTCGAGCTCAACAACCACAACCCACGAACTTTGTGCGATTTGTCGATACAAAAGGCATAAAATCACGAGACACGACAACCCAAGTCTTCGAATTTATTGGGTTAAGTCTTTGCAAAGGATATGGGATACATATACACGTAGCTCCCCTACGCTATCTCGGGTTCAGGTCGATAGCATGTCGAGGCGTGTGCTTGCGTGTATGTGTGTGTGTATGTACTTGTTCGATCCGGTACGAGCTTTCTTCGCTACGGCAGATAGACGCGTCGGGGGCTCTTCTAGCGGAAACAATGACGAACTCGTTTAGCCAGAGACCATCCGCCGGCTCTCTCGATAGCGTCTGCGCGAGGCTGCACCCACCCACCTGACCACCCCATTGTGCCGTCTCCACTCGGCACAGCAGTTCCATTTCCGTCCGGGATCTGATGCTGTGCGGGTGGGTGTTCAACGTCGACGCGTTTGGAGCATGACAGCCTCCAGCCGACGAAAAATTCGCGGGGTGATGTGCAGATGGCAGGTGCCTCGTGCTGTCGAGTGAGCGTGCCTCGTCGCGTATGTAGCCACCTCCCACCCGCTCTTCGAACAGCGAGGTCGGAATGCAGATCTCGTGCTCGTGCGAATCCCGATCGAGCCAGCGCGTCATCTACGCCCTCGTCTGCTCCGTTGCGTGTTTATGCAGACGGCTGTGCGCGTCGCGATCTTGGTGAGACGGCAGCAGCGAGCGTGAGAAACGGAGTGCTTGTCTGCCCGCTGGTAAAAAGACCGGCGGCGCCGGATCTCTCGCGCGGCGTCGCGACGGCAAAGATTCGACGACTCGATCGAAGCGGTGGTCCAAGTGGCAGCAGCATCGATGCTGCGATAGACTGCAGCGGAGCAGTGCAAACGTCCGCGTCGAAGGAGGTCTTGCTCGGTCAAGAGGACAAGAGGCACCGAAGAGCTCTTTGCGCTCTGGTCAGTTGCACTATCCCAAGTCCCTTCGGATGGCCCCTGGCCATAATCAGAGTCCTACGTGGCCCTGGTGCCGCCCGATAGTCTCTCTATATAGACGCGTGCGTGGCTTGTCTTGCATGTCATCCTACGTATACGTACGTGTCCGTGCAAGTCGCAGCGGAACGAACGGCGGCACGTCAGCCGGACACGCTCGTTCCACTCTCGAGCCCACCAGCTGCAGGTGCGTCTTGCAGATCAGCAGCAGCAGCAGTAAAGGGCCAAACCGACTCAAGGCGGCAGTCATAGCAGCAGCAGCTGCTGGGACGAGCGAACGCGACCCAATGACTCGACGCCCCGTGTAAACAAACCGCAAGAGCACCGACCATCCCGACTGACCGTTCTTCGTGTGCGAGCCGCAGCTCTGTCCGACCCAGCTGGTCGCTCGAGGTTATGGCTAGGAGGGCTCAAAAGCTGAGCGATCTCGCCTATCTGCCCCACGATCCCGGCACCTCTGTCTCTCTTGCTCGCTCGCTCGCTCACTCGCGACGACGGAGGAGGAGGAGGAGGAGAAAGAGGCACATCCGCCCATAGACCTGTACCTTCGAGCAGAGCAGCGCTCGCATCGGGAACACGGACCGTCCGATCTTTATAACAAAACCACCACAGCCGTCGCCGGCAGACCCCAATGCCGTGTCGTGTGTCTTCTTCTCGCGAGTTTGAGCAGCTCACTTTCCATTTTGCCACTGCCTCAGCACACACTCACACACACTGTGTGCCTCCTCCTCTTCGTCCAAAGCTCTCCACGTGCCCCCCCCCACCCCCTTCGCCCCCTCATGCCGACGCCAAGCAGTCGTCGCAATGCCAACCGCGCGCGGTGTCAGTTTGCCGGCTGCGAAAAGTTCGCCCAAACCCGTGGCCTCTGCAAGGCGCACGGCGGCGGCTCGCGCTGCCGCGACCCCCAGTGCAACAAACTCGCGCAGAGTCGCGGGCTGTGCATTGCACACGGCGGCGGCCGGCGCTGCCAAGCCGACAACTGCAGCAAATTGGCGCAGTCGAAAGGCTTTTGCATCTCGCACGGCGGCGGCCGCCGGTGCACGATCCCGAGCTGTGAAAAGTTCTCGCAGGTCAAAGGCCGCTGCAAGTCGCACTCGAAGCTCGTGGTCGGCCATCCTGCAGCGGCGGCCTTTCCGTCGTTTCCAGGCGTCGTGACCCCGCCCAGCTCCACGAGCTCGGCCGCGATCTCGCCCACGAGCACGAAGCTGTCGATCGACTTCCTGCTCTCGCGCAGCGCGTCGATTGGGGACAAGGCGCCGGTCCAGCCGCACGTGCACGGAGGTGTGCCGGCGCTGCGTTCCGTGCCGCACGTTATTGCGCGGCCGTTCGTGTGTTCGACGGCGGGACGAGGCGGCACAGCTCGATACGACACGGACGTGCTGGCCACGCAGCGGTCCTTACTCTCGTTTCTTACGCCCTACCGGACGAGTCTGTCGTACGCGGCCCCGCAACATCATCAGTATGGCAAGTTCCAGTTCCACGGTCCCGAGACTACCGTTGCGCCGATGTTTCGCTAGAGTAGCGGCAGCAGCAGCAGCAGCAGCAATAGCAGTAGCAGTAGCAGTAAGTGAGTGAGTCAAACAGTCGCTGTTTGTGAGTCGCGGGCGAGGGAATTGGGTGTCGAGAGAGTGCAAAGCGGGCGGTGGAAGGGTAGCAAGCGCTCAATATTTAACTCGGAGAGATGTGCAGTACTTCCTTCGCTATGTGTGTTGTGGGCATGTGTATGTGGTGGACATGTGCTGTTCTTCCTATTGACTGTGTGTTTCCGACGACCGCCGCCTCCTTTTCTAGGAGACGAGAGACGACTGCCTGAAGACGAATGGCAAGCGAAAGGGACATGTCCCATGATGGAGCCGTACAGACGACGTGTAGATGGCACAATAGCGTGCGCACAAAGCGTAGGCACATCGACACTCGTCCACTGTCTTCGCAAAGGAGTTTGGCCTTGTCGGGTACACATTGTTTATGGCGAGCGATTGTTGCATGCATTCGGCTCGACGGTGTCCGATGCTTCGTGACGAAGGCGTATTCTCTAGACCGTGCAAGACCTTGAGTGTTTACTTGACTACATAGCGATGAAAGTAGTAGCCGCTAGATGCTTCGCTAGATGGGACTCTCGACCGCAAGAAGAGATCGCGTTCATGTTCAGACCTTACGCGTAGGAAGATGCCGTCTGTCATGTGGACTACGCGGAAGGTATGACCGATGCAAAGGCAGCTCTCGTTGCTGCGGCAAACTGGAAAACGAACCAGAGACTATGTGGGATACATGGGCGCGGATACCACAATCTTTATGTACGTCGTCAGCTGGGAGCGAAGCTGCGTATGTAATGACAACGCGCTTCCTGCGCACGCGCTGCGGCTGAGCGCAAGCTGCTGGCCCTACCGTCACTTTATCTTGTTCGGAGCACCGTAGCGGATCGTAAGGACAGTCTTGTGACGATGCCTACGGGTCGGCCAGGCTATAAACGACGGACCTGCTCCGTAGAGGCAGCACCAGCAAAGAGAATCTTCCAGAAACGCCGGGGGCCGTACCATCGATAACACTGTCGCCACGCAGCTCTGGACGGGCTGTTGCGTATTGGAAAAGACGGTCGTACGAACTAATGCGTACCGCTTGGAACGGTGCACGTCCGCCGTTCACAGTGCTTGAGTTCGACGACTGACCGGCCAACGGTCGGTAGGACGGACCGTAATCGATCGATCGGCCGCCAACTCACCCTCTTCCTGCTCGTCCTTCCTCTATTTCCGACCGGATATACATTGCCTCGAACACGTCTGCACCACGTTCATCGCACGCCGTACACCTTCACGACAGCGCTTTTCCGGTTCTGCTTGTGCTGTCGGTGCAACGTACACCCACATGTAAATGCCTGCAACAATTGATGTTGGCCGACATGCAAAGCGACAGGAGCATGTTTCGTTGCTGCACTGGAGTGATGGGCACAAATCGACTGCCCGTTCAGACAGCACACGGCGCTGTTACGGCGGTCGAATCGGGTGGTGGGACACGAGATGCGGACCACAATGGCACGATGGCAGCTGTCGCTGCTGCTCACTTTCTGCCCTGTTGCGTCTATCGTGACGCAATGAACGCTCTTGCACGTTGTCGAGCGACTCACGGGCGAGAGGTCCGTGAAAAGAGACGGCCCCATCTCTCGGTACAGGAACTGGTCGGCCATAACCAGCTCTTTCCCAAGCGCTCCGACTTGAGCTGCATGAACGGGTTGGCTGTGAGGTATCAACCGTCCGTGTCTTCTGGCGTTGCCCCGCTCACAAAGGCGTGTCGAGCGAGGAGACTGCTCCGCAGGTGATAGATACGTTGGCGACCGGCCAAAGGAACTCCAAGCGCAGAGCTTGTACTTAATGGCACCCAAAATAAAAGAAGCGCTTTACCGGGCACGGGATCGGCGACTGCATGTTCTTGTCGTCCGAAGCCATCAGTTGATGCGTGCGGTGTCGAACGTCGTGTCGAGTTGCAGCTGCTGTCCGTGTGTGCACTTTGCTCGACTCGAAGCGTTACGTCCAATATATCGAGCGTTTCTGCCTTGCACTGTGCACTGCAAATGCCTTCCTGCGCAGTCTCGTGCACGACCACGTCAGTACCGTTGCTCCTTTCGTCCTCGCCACTGTGAACCAACCATACGAGAACAGCTACAGCTCGTTTCGCATCTCACCTCGCATCGACGCGATGATCCCGAATCGCCGCACGCGGGACTCTTCGCTTCAACTGTCTTCATACTAGGCGCAAGGCATATCTTTGTCAAGTCCTTCAGGACGACGCAACGTCGATAGATCTTGATCCGTTTCGTCTCGTCTCGGGGGGCTAGAAGGAGGAGGGGGAGGACGACGTCCAGTACAAAGCTGGATCTGTCCCGAGACCCCGAGTCAGCGTAGTCAGTAGAGCATTATCGCATTCGTGTTCTACTCGGTCTCACATGGCTTTGCCGACCGATCTCGGCTTACCACCACCGGTTCCTCCTCTTGTCGTGGCACTGCCGACCCACATGCGCTCGACAGCTTACTCGAGCCCGTGTTGGAACGAAGACGTTCCAAACAGCATCGACGCTGCCTTTGAGCTCCCTGACTGCACCTTTCCCACCTGCTCAACCGTTGACGCTCTCCCCTACCTCTCCGAGTCGCGAGGTCTCATCTCACCAGTCTCTTACCCGCTGTCTTCCGGCTACGCTTCCGCAGTAACGTCCTGCGACCCTACAAGATCATCTTCAGCCCAGCGCTTTCAACCGCAACGTGCGTCGCTTCCAGCGCCGCTGAACACAGTTCCGGTGATCCGTCAAACACGCAAAGCGTCTCGAACGGCACCTGCTATCTCCTCCTTCCAGTCGGCAAACATGTCACCAGTGACGACGCCGTTCGTTTCGCTCGCAAAGATGCGATCGGGTGGCGCCAAGTTGTGTGTCCGGCCGGACCACAGAGCCTCTGCGAGCTACGGGTCCTTGTCGCCGTCCAACGTGCAAGTTGGGCGCTGGACCAAGCGGGAACACGACATGTTCCTCGAAGGTCTCGAGCGCTTTGGTCGGTCGTGGAAAAAGATCGCGAGTCTTGTGCACACGCGGACACTCGTGCAGATACGCACTCACGCACAAAAGTATCTCCAGAAACAGTCCCGCGCTCGCTCGAAGGCCACTGTTAACGACGTAGGCGCTGGTGCTTCGTCTTCTTCGTTCACGATAAAGTCTCAGCTACCTCTGACCTCGACATCAACAAAGGATCGAAACCCGACGCCATCACTCGACTCGGCCTTCCAGTTCAAGAACGCACACGGACTGGACCAGCTCTCGCAGGAGGAAACAGTCACCATCCCAGCGTTCGTCGACGAGTACTACACAAGTCCCACTGCCACCGAAGATGAGCTGCTGAGATCGTTACCTACTTGCGAAGAGTGGGTGTCTCGGTATTTGCAATGCACGGCATCCGTCAGCGGTTCCGAACCATGTCACCCTTTGGATATCTATGCACCTGCGGGCTCGGGAACATACCCTACTTCGACAGCTCTGGCTACATCAACGTGGCGTCCTGTAGTATATACCATCCCGTTCGAGTCGCTAGCAGTTCCGAATAGCACGTTCGCCTCCTCGGTATAAACGGTGTACAACTACTGCAGTTCAACGAGTCATCCAGGAGACGGATGAACCTATTGGCCGTGACTGTCGACAAAACCGCAACACAGGTGGGAGAGCCTCCCGACTTTGCCAGTTGAGAGCCATTGGCACATGAAAGCGATGCGTTTCAAGCAGTCGTATGACTTCCGTACTGCATAAGAGACGCCGATATTGCGTCGTTGAATTCTTGCGCGACTCAATATTGCTGGCTGTACACGTGCAGTCGCGTATGAAGACACACACATTTTCGTTTCTTGGCCGTTGTTGACAATCGCTGGTGGGACTGGCGACCAAGCAGCCGCAACTTCTTACAGCAGGGCGGACGAGTGCATCAAATACTGTACTGGTGCTAGCTAGTTGATAATCGGATGCACTTCCACCTGAGCAGCAAATTGTTCGTGCCGAAGAGACGAGAGTGATACCAATGCGCTGCAGAGTGCTCGTACAACTGCGACTGACAGCGTGTTGTCGTTTGCTTTGTAGACAGCACGTTCACGTCTATTGTCACCAGTCCATTTGGCGTCGCAAATGGTCATGACTAGACGAGGCGCACGAACCCAATGTAGAAGAGAAGTGCACTGTCGAGTTTGAACAGCGACGTTAGCAGACAATCAGCTTCAATCGCTTTGACGACAAGCAAGCAAAGAATGTCATCAAGTGACTAGTACAGCACTTCTTACGTGTGTGGAGAGATGGAAGTCACCAGTAAGATCACATACATTCCCCATTCCTTCGCCTAGCGGGATCTGCCATGCTTACATATCTTCAAGTCCCGACGAAGTGAAGAGGTCCTCGAATATGCCATCACTGAGTCGACAAACCCGGTGTTGTATTCGCGTGAACCTGGGCAGCCGCCTGGCTGCACTTTGTCGTCCAAGATGGAAGTGCCTGAGCTTATCAAGGTAGAACAGAAGCTTTGTATTGCAGCCACCTCCTGTCGTTGTCGACGTCAAGTTTTTGCTACCACTTCACTTACTGCGTCCATTCATCGTGCGATCCATAAGATATGAGGTACTCATGTCACGAGATCCGTCAGCAAGCGCGAGTCAAGACAGCGAACTTGCAGGCTTTACCCACTAGTACATAGCTTTTCATACCTTCTTATCAATTTCCTGCTACAATACAATACCGCCTTCTGCTTTGCACTCGTACCGCGACGTGGTAATCTCGGATCTACGTTATAGGACAATATCTTGAAACGCCGCACCTCTTCGAGATTGCCATATCTTCGTCTCAATCGTCCAGCACAGTGTGTTTTAGTGAATAGCTCCTACTGCGTCTATGTTTAGATCTTGTGCAGCAATGATCCGAGACACATTGTCAGTGCGTGATGCCACTACGAACTATATGGCAAGAAACACACGAGATCGCGCAATCGCAACCACATCGAACGCTGTATCAGCGTATGATCGATCAATAAGTTCAACTTATGAGCAGACTCATCTCACGCGCACGGCGATATAAGGACAACGACAGCTGAGTGCTCCAAAATTTGTGATAACATGGAGGAACGTAGTAAACAAGACCGACGAGTCGCTTATGCATTTCAAAACTTTGCTTGCTATGTCACGCGTCGCGGACAAGCTTTCGTTGTTTCGTTGATAGCGTCCCAAACCTTTGCGTACCGCGCTACGCCTCGCGTATAAGCTTTCGCTGGTCCCCTTGAGAGTCATCACGTAGCAACACTTCCCAAAACTCATAGTATACACGCGTTACCTGCAACGGGCATTCGTCTTATGACCGCTATCTTTTTTTCTCACTCGTCCATGTCAAAGTACATTCTGTAGCACGAAAAGTCGCTCGATCACCGCTAAGGACCTCGACCCATTAATTTCATCACTCCCGCATTTGCACTGGAAGGAGCAAACTTTTGGTGACAATGGGCAACCAACACGCGAAAAGTATGTGCGATGCCACTCACTCCAGTTGCGATAGCTTCGTGCGCTTGAATGTCACTGTGATGGAAAAGTCACGAATCCGAGTCGCGGTGCTGTCGAATCATGATGCGTTTCACTTGAGCTTTCCTTCTGTGCGTGGAGGAGTTACGGCCAAGAAATTCGCAGCAACCGCAGAGTTTCAAGCTGGACGGCAAACTTGGTATATCGCTGAAGTCCGTTTTGTGTCCAACGCACCTGATGAGACTTTGATACGTTCGTCATCAGGCGCGTCAAGGTGCAACTGGCTCCAATGCAAACGACTGCCGTGCTGTTGTCGCTGCGGTTTGTCAGGAATCACGTTGTAAGCTTCTTGAGGGGACAACGCGGACAGTACCAGTCGCCCGGTGGGACGACTGAAAGAGGGGGCTGCAGGCAGAAGGCGTGATATGCTGCATCGCAACTATCACACAACAACATACTCTCCTGCGCATTCATCTGGCCGCACTGCCTGCACAATTCCTCCGAGGCAAGGTGTGACACAGGGGTGTTAGGCAGCACATCCGTGACCCACTGCTCGAAGAGTCGATTGAAGATTGCTGTACATCACAACACCGGACAATTAGTTCGAACACGAGCCACAAAGATACGCAGGACATGACACTTACACCGCAGTCGATTTGCACACCTTGAGATGTCGGCATCCAGTCGATTGAACGTGAAGCAGTTCTCCCAAACAAGGTCCACGTCTCGTACAAGCCTTTCGAAACGCTGGTCATAAGACCCACAGCTTAGCCTTGTCTTGATGGTTCCCAAATCCATCGGATGCTTGATCACGTCTGCGTACCCAGGTACCAGTTTCAAATTCACCGGTGCCGAAAATGCTACTGCTAACTCGTTTTTCAACACGACGCCCATGATATGCTCCAAGCGTGACCGCAGCGTTACATCCTGTGCGCTTCCAATAGGGAAAGAATGTCGTGGAGTCTTCATTTGGAAACAGCGGAGCTCAACGTACTGTGTCTCTAGTGGTTTTGCGACGGGAGCGACAACAATTGCTGAGCCCTGTGCTCTCCGTTTCCGGCAAGGAACAGAGCGCTGGCCTACCATCTTCGTCGGGTGTGTGCCTGGATGCTTTCTCTTTGGTAGAGCTTGACGCCCGATCCCACTTTGCGATTGACCAGATACAGACGTCGTCTGGATGTGACCCGCCGAGGTTGCTGTGATCCATTGCTCAACTTGGTCAACTGCGAGCGACGTGATTGCAGCAACCTCGTTTCTAGCCTTTCGATATGCGTACGTTGTCAAAGACCGTTCTCGCTGCGCTTCCAGAATATTGTGAATCATTTTGTTAGCCAAGCGAATGATACCGGCTGTCAAGTGGCTCAAAAATGGCAGCTTCGACGGATCCGATACAGGCTCTGCAGATTTTGCTTTCTCACTAACTATTGCTGTCTTCTGGGGTGAGCCTGGCCGATTGGAATTCACACTTGACGAGTTTCGATGCTTGCGCTTGCCTCCGCGTTTCATACGTCCGTAAGAAATCGCATCGTCTAAGGAGTACAGGCGCATCGCAGCCGATGCAATCGTTGCTGTGGCAATCGCGTTTTTTGCTGATGGGAGTGGAGATGTCTTCCAACACGGATCGAGCCATTCTGGATCAATGTTGGCTTCCAAATAAACCACAGCTTCCATCAGTGTCGCTGATAAGTCACACGCGTACACCATCTCTGCCCATGCAGCACGGACAGGGCGTCCCCAACGGCCTGAACGGAAAGCGTCGCGTGGAATTGCTGATTCCATAGTGAGCAGCTGAGCCCGGAGTAACTGCAGGGAGCGGGGAAGATCTTTCTTCTGTGGACGTATCGTTGCACCAAAATCTTCCAGCAACTCGGTTGCTAGCTCCCCAATTTCTCCATCGGTTGCATCCCCTGTCCCAGCTTCGCCGCCGCTCGCTAAGCCTCCCTTGTTGTTGGCTTTACCGAGTTCGGGATCGTACATATCCGCGATGTTGGTAATTTTGCGAGGTACTCGAGAAGATCTCCTAGAAACACCGCTCTCTTCCGTTGCACTGGGTTCTTTTCCACCGGGTTGATCACAAGGCATTGTTGTTGTGGCCTGGTGAGGAAGCTCTACATTGGAGACTTCTTGCTCTGACTGGGGCATGGCGGTGGCAGGAGCCGTTGTCCTGACATCTCCAGCCGCACAGCTCACCTCCGCAGGGGTGGCAGAGGCAGAAGCTGGTCCAGAGCTTGAATTGACTTCTGCTGGGGCGTCTTGTAAGGCGCTTGATGCCGCCTGCAACCGTTCTAACTGCGCTTCACGGTCGTGCTGTCTATCAGCATCGCTTCGTTCCCCCTCCACGTCTGATTGTAGTGGTGTCGTTGTTTGTGAGAGCGACGGAGACTCTGGCTCCGTATCGACATCCGCGATTGCTCTATCGTCAGTTGTACCGACTGTGGTCCCATCCAACACGTCGGCACTTGCAGCAATCTCGAAGTCGGAATCTCCACGATAGATTGTTTCATTCGTATCGTAGTAATTCACCTGTGATACGTCCCGTCCATTAGGTAGCAATCGCGGATCGTTTCCTGTAACAAAGCTCACAAATTCACCCGTGGAATTGTTGGTTTGGTATGAGTTAGAAGCTTCAGATGATGGCTGCACAGCCGGCGGATAGCCCATCGCAGATGAGGCGTTCGGCAGCGAAGGCATGGAATCCATCGGCATCTGCATGTTTCCATTGTCGTTCATACTCAAAACGTTTGGCGTCGATTCCAGTGGGTACAGCTGGAGAACTGTCGTGTCAGATACACCTTGCCAGCGTACTTCCGTGCTTTGCCCATTTTGAGCACTAGTCGTTCCGACGTTGTATATGTCCGGCAGCACTTCGTAGCTCGAAGCGCCCGTAGATGCAGCTGGAAAGGATTGCACGGGCATGTCACCAATCAAACCTGGCGCAGTATCGGTCAATGACATGTTATTGTACTGCGAGGGCGGATTCCCCATGGGTTGACCTGAAGGTACTGATGAAAAAGGATACGAATTCATATTGCCGCTCATGCCAGGAAACTGTCCAGGAGTCGTGCTCTGGTAATTTTCGCTGGAATTCACGGAGTCGACACCCGGAGCGATTGATCCGCCTTGTGCTTGTGCATTATCATACAATCCGTTGCTGTTGATGCTCCTCGCTTGCATCTGCTGATCGAAAGCATTCGGCTGTTGTAATTGCTGATTCACTGCAGGGGAAACTTGATGAGGAGGTCCTGATGTGCCCATAATTGGTGGACAGTAATTAAAGCTGAGATTCGAGTTTTGTGTATGTACTGACGCGCCAAGAGTAGCTGGCAACATCCGCCGGAACGTCACTTGCAGTGGACGTTTGCTAGTGGCAACCGCAGCTTTGAAGCCCTCCATACCGATCACACCTAACTTGTTACCATTCACCGCATAAACCTCGTCGCCCACCTGCACCTTGCCGCTCGCCTGAGCTTGCCCCATTAATTTATTGCTATCACTCGAAAACTCCGTCACTACGATAGCCCCATGGCTCGAATAATTGATCACTACTCCCAATGGACCGCTCCCAAACTCCACGTTCACAAGCATGCTGTTGTTGCTGACCTGACTTAAATTCTGCGTTCGTTTCGTCGGCATTTTTTCTGCAAATGAGCCCGACGTCTTACCATGTGCTGCTATCGGAAGAGATGGTACAGAAGTTGTCGCCTGATTCTGACTTGAGATACTCGTGCTGGAAGCCATATTCATTTTGCGATAAAATGTCTGCCGAATGCTCTCAAGAACGTTGATCTGCTGCACGAAGGATGGAGGCATGGATTCTACTCCTGGCGTTGTAGAGGTAAACAACGGCCGGCAGTTGCTTAGATCATCGAAAGTTGCGCCTGATAAGTACCGCGTTAACCGCAAAAACATCAGCACAAAATTTGCGACATTGTGCAGTTCAACCGACAGATCACCAGCGCGTTCAGACAGCTCACACTTTTTTGCTGCAGTGGCAAAGCCGCCAAGTGCGCGTGTGCGCAGCATGTTCGACGGATCCACGCAGCTGAGAATCGCTGTCGCAAAGGCATCTGCTATTTGCTTGACAAGAGCGGAATCAGAACGAGTTTTCTTACTGGTTGTCAGAGCCTGCGTCGCCGTAGCACAAACCAATCCCATCACATACGCGTGATGGAGACACACAAACGTTTTGCGATCCGGATGAGTTGCACGAGGATCGACAACAATACGCGACACCACTTTTTTCACCTCTTCAAAACTGGACAAACAGGCGTACGCTAGTCCATTTGTCGTCTGCATAGTAGCGGATGCGGCAAACTGATTCCAAGCGGCCAACATCGATCGCCCTTGATCCACCAACGACTGCAGTGAGCGTTTGAAGGAGAGAGCGTTGTTGACCGCGCCAAGTGCGTATTGTTGCTGAATGTTTGCAGGACCACTCGGCTCCGCATATCGCGACCGCTTCAAATGGTCAGCTACTTGATGTGCCCGCGGGTCCTCGATTTGACTGTGCTTCCGCTTCAATATTTCTTGGTAGCGTGCTTGCGCGGCAGCATATGCAAATGACTGTAGTTCTCCTTGCGTCCTCGGTGTTGCGACAGACGGCATCCCCGTCTGATGCAAGGAGGACCTTGTTGCATCAAGGTTGTTATTCAGCATAGCTTTTTTTGATCGAAGACCGTGCTGGATAATTCGATAAATGCTTTGTGAGATCGGAACGGGCTTCATCCCTCCAACCGCATCCACCATACTTCCGTATTCGTACTTACGCATGAAGACCCGCTTCACCACAAGCTCTGCCTTCGGGGACGGGGCAGTCAAGGATGAAGGGAAGTTTGCATTCCGCAGCGTAGAAGCATCAGTAGCTACCACCACATGAAACCCTGTGGAGCGGATCAATGTCTCAGCACGCTGAAGCGTGCTTTCTGCCTCCTGCTGCGTACAGAACGAACCCAAAAAGTATGTGCGTCCATAGTATCCCACAAAGGACTCAAACTTCTCAGCATCTTCGTCCACTACTAAAAGTACCTCCTTCTCGATGGAAAATGGTCCATCCTGGAGAAAGGCTTCGATCGAGTACTCGCAACACGAGGGGCCCTGCTGCAGCAAAAGTCTCTCTTCGTCGCTGTGAAGAGTCCAATGATAGCACCATCGAATTTGAAATGCAATCATGGAATCTTTCGAATCTTCATCCAGATATGAGAGCAGTTGCACGAGCTGAGTCCGCCTAGCGCACACCAACCACTTCTTTTCCGGAGACATCACGAATAATCGCCGGCGATCGCTATTGAAGCGATAATACGTGTAGCCGTGTCGGCACTTTCCAAATGCGAAGGTCCTCGGAATGACCAACCATTTGATCAAGCTCTCCACTGCTCGAATCTTTTCGATACGAGGAAGCATGGAGCTACATTCTGACCACGCAACGTTGGCACTTTCAACACAACTTTTATGGGCTTGCAACAACGTCGTATGTCTGACGGATGCAGTGAAGTGGATGTACACAGGACAAGTGGATGACAGGTCCACACACAAGGCCGTTAGTGTTGCCCAGCTCAAGCCAGCGACTGACCTACCGTTAAGCCCTACAATACGGTCGCCAAATTCAACAGTTAGCATAGCTGCTTCGTTGTCCACTTCATTCCAGTTGGCGTATTGCTCGCAGTACACAAGACCCTTCATTGCAATGACACCGAGGGAATCCAGACAATTCTCGGCTTCAAACGGTAGCGGCAAGGAGTCGACGCGATAAGTCTTCACTTTACTGGACGTAGGAAGTTTTAGCCGCTTGCACAGTAGAGACGGGTTGCTTACTACCTCAGCCAGATTCTTCGTCACCTCATCAAAAGTCACAGCTTGTACGCCTTCTCCACGTGGTTGCCTGGAAAAGGTTATTTTCAGCGGCCGTGGCAAGCTCAACAACCACGACGTAAATTGAGACAAATCACTCAGCTGGCCATAAGATTCGTTGTTGACACGTTCCACCAAATCCCCGCGTAAAATGCGTCCACTCTTAGATGCTTGGCCCAGTGTGCCATCAGGGTGATCATTCAGTGATTTCACTACCACACCTCGACTTTCAAGCGCCAAAGCCAAGCCGAGTGGGCCATCTTCGAAAACCACTTCGTACGAGGTTGGTCCACTCATTTGAAGTGCAAGCAAGTCGGATCGGAGTGCGGTCAGCTTCGCGCGCTGTGAAGGCACGTCGTATACAGTACGCTGCCATTCTTCTTCGGCTTTTCTCATTTTCGTGGACGGTGGACGGGCGAAGACAACACACGTTGCGTCTCTAGAGCATTCCACATCAAGCAAAGCCTCGACATCGGCCAAAGTCTTTTCGTGCAAAGGAATATCATTCACCATCAAAAGCACATCGCCTGGAAATACGCGCCGGGAAAGCTCCCCGAATCCTACTGGAAGATCCGCTGATGAACGATAAGACTGAACAAAAACGTAGGACTCATGAGCATCCAAAGTCAACTCCAATGGCAGGCCGTGACATTTTACGATCGACACCGACGAGCGAACAGCGTCCCCGGGCAGCGATGTCAAGTACAGCAAGATTGGTTGAGTGGCAGCGCTCAGATGATGTCGGACAGCGTCGCAACTCATTCCAAAGACAACACGGTCATTGATCGCGTAAACGATTCCCTTTACGCCTCCAGGTGGGGCTTCCTGGCTCTCTGAATACCCAAAATCTAACATGAGGCTTGACATAGTATCGGAGCCTTCTACATATTGTACACCGTCTGCCGTGTCTTCCAGATGCAAAGTTGCGAGATCATTTGCCGCAAGCGTTCGAGCCATCAACATATCTACCAGCCAGTCCGGAAGTTCGTATTCTCTCAGCAGCGTCGTCTGGGCTGTCAATGGCGACTGCTTGCACGAGACTAACGGTCCGTTCAAAATCCCATCTTCCAAACCACAGAAAGCACACAGCGGACGAGGCGAAAGCACACTATATGCGTTCTCGGGAGAACTGATCTTGCTCGGCGTAGTCGACGCTTGGAGAAATCGATCGCCGAATTCCTCAAGAAACATCTCTTCCTCTGCGTCAGAGTTGTCGGACAAATCGTCGTCATCTGCGTCCATTGCTACAGTCACGGCTTCTTCCTTTACCGTATTTGACCCGTCAAAGAGTTTCTTCCGAGCACTTCCGGGCAGCACAGGAACAGGTTTTGACTCCAGCTCTGCATGTGCCTTTTCTTCCAAATAGGTCAACAGTTCGTCAGTCAGCTCATGTTCCACACCATCAATGATGAATTTATTTGTTTGCTCTACACCGTGCGAAGAGCGTGGTGGGAGAAATTGGTCCCATTCGCGCTCTAGGTCAGCGAGTGGTTCGCCCAGATTCTTTCGCACATCATTCGCTTTTTCTTCAAGTGAAAGGTAAATCGATCGAACTGCGGACGATTCCTCCATTAGCTCACACAGCACCCTTAGCACCTTCAGACGATCTGCAACAGTAAGTTGGGAGTAGTTCTCCTGTGACAGAAGATCGATGGCGGACAAGAGTCGTTTTTCCAGCTCCGTCAGATCACCTTCACTTCGTTTGTAGTCGGCGCCGTCGCCTGAGTTTGTCATGCTGCGGACCTTTTTCTGGAATGGGCCGGATGAAAAGGAGGAGTCCGCAAGGCACGGAGAGCAGAACCACTCGCCCTTGGGGACCACAGATAATGAAGGATCGAGGCAGAACGTGTGATACGGCGCGTCACAGCGATCGCACAGCAGCAACCGTTCCTTCGCGTGGACCGTTCGACACTTGCGACAATTGTCTTCATCTGCAGCAATCATCGGTCGATCCGCGGTCGTATAGACCCACTCTTTCATCAACCGTTCAAACGTAGATGACAACTTTTGGGCTAAGTTACTGATTTCCGCTTTCATCGAGTTGTATGCAAAGCAGTTTCTCCACACTAACTGCACATCGTCAACAAAAGACTCGACATCGTCGTTCTCGTACTCTTCATCCTCGACTTTCTCCGAGATCGTACCCAGGTCCATGGGCTCCGTTATGTCCCCACTTGTGTAGTAATCAGGGTAGAGCTCGGCATCCACTGGCTGATTGAAGGGCCCAGCAATTCCTTTCGCTCGAAGTAGCTTTAGCACAAATGCACAGCACTTTATCTTCGTCGCCCCTTGTGTTGTCGCAATATGCTTCACGGGATTCTTTACGACAGGGACAACCGATGACAGCAACAAACCATGGGGAGTCTTTAGGCTACTCAAAAGACCATTCAAGTCGTCCAGGGACGTTTCGCGTACGTCATGACCGTTGATAAACATAACGTAATGTCCAACCTGGATCCTGTCAGCGCCATCGTCCTTAAGCTCGCCAGCGGTATCTTGAGACGAGTCTACAACGTCCGAAGAACCAAGCTTTGTGGCGATAATTTTCGTCACAACAAGATGTTGGTCTTTCTCTCCTACCTCAAGCCGACTTGATACACCGTCAACAAGGATCACTCCGTAATAATCGTTTGACTTTGTAGGTGCATTGTTTGCTTCTAAGGCCAGTGTGGTCGAGTCTTTTTCACGCATGCCTTGCGCATCAGCCTTCGTCCTCTCATTTTCTTCTTCGTATGGTATCCCTTCCAGTAAGTGGATACCTCGTCGATTTAGCTTCTGTCGCAGTGGGTGCGTTACTGAGTCATCCCGGTACGATTTGGAGCCCTTTATCGACTTAAGAAGTACTTCGTCCGCGCTAGGCTGCTTGAATTCTATCGCAAACTGGCATACCTCGCGTGCGAGTTCTGGCCAACTAAACGCGTTCAAAGGGCGCGTGCGATAAAACTCATCGATCGTTATCCCCAATTGGAGCAATGGTAAAAACTCCCTGATCAGCGCTTTCAGCAGCTCTGCATGCAAAGATGCGAAAAGTGTACCGACTGAGTCATCGTCTAATATCCCGTCCCCAACTGGACTGGACCCGTCGCTTAGCATCATCATATCCACGAAAACGCGTAGTGAGGGAAGTGCCGTGAGTTTTAAACAGTCTGAGAATGTCGAAATAAAGTCCCACACGAAAAGTAGGTCAGCATGACAGTCTACTGGAATAGGGTCCAATTCTACTGCTCGAGAAATCACCTGTGTTGGAAATGTACCACGCTCGTCATGTGAATTAGTGATCGTGCGGAGGTGGGAATACGACGAGGCGGAATGGCTATTCAGATCCGAAGTGTAGCGGGCTTTGACACGAGCCCATACCTCGCTTTCCACTTCGCTCCTCTTCTCCCACAAACAAATTTGCCGGCGTCGCTCTCTTTCTTCTTCCACGAACTTCAATAGCACAAGCTGTTGCTGTCTAGCGGAATGAGGATCATACACCTCTTTCCTCTTCCCTGAGTCGCCAAATCGACGCAATGAGAGCGGGGACGTCACGACACCATTCTCGAGAATTGCCTTCTGCTCTTCCCGCATTTGGCGACGCTGGCGCTGCTCTTCTGTTCTTCGCTTCATCACCATTTCCTTTTCCTCTAATTTCTTGCGCTTTTCCTCTTCCCGCAGTGCACGCCTGATTTCTTTCTCCTCTTCTCTCATGCGCTTCTCTTCCTCCCTCGCGAGGCGCGACGCCTCTTTCCGTGCCTCTTTTTGTCGAGCAGCTTCCATCCTGCACTCAAGAATTGCATTTTTGCGCGCTTCTTTTGCCCGCCGTTGAGCTTCTTTGACATCTTCTTGAGCCTTCATTTCAATCTCCAAGAGTTTCCGCGCAGCTTCTCGGACGCTACGCTTGTCAGCTTCAAGCCGAGTTTCCTCTTTTTTCTTTTTGTGACGCTGCAGCTTGCCAGGGTCACGAGAGTGCTCTTCTAATAAAGCTTGCTGAGATAGCTGGCGGCTTATTTTATCCTTATAAAAGGAGCTGTGAACTTTCAGCATATCCTTGAGTTGACCCTTCAGACGCGAGCGAATCCTAGCGTGGACATTCGGCGTGATCGGATGCCGCTGCTCCCAAAATTGATAATCGTTGCACAACAACACTTTGTGTAGTCCTTCTAACACGCGTGTGATATTTCGCCGTAGCAGACCAAACCCATCTTCGCCGCTGGCAGGCGTTAGTACGTCGATGGGTGTACCGCTATCGTCCATTTCTACAGCAAACATCGATTCGCTGACCACGGTCATCAAATCATTCACTGATAGACCTTCGAAATGCACCAAGGCCTTTTTCCAAGCTTTGCTTGCCACATAAGACCTAAATACGATATCGACTGTGTAGAAAAGTCAGCGACGTCATGTAGTACAGCAACATTCCGGCGATTCCGCTCTTCCCACTTCGCGTACCTGCGCTGTTTTCGAGTTCTACCATAAAAATCGGAGAGTTTTTCTTTCCACCATGCACGATTTCTACAGCCAATACAAGAACGTTTTCGACATGAGCCACCACCCGTGTAGATAGCAACACACCAGATTACACATCCACGTACTGCACCGCAATCGGAACGCTACCGTCACGGGCTTCGTAATTTGCACGTTCACGAGCGTCTCGTATCCAATCTTGACCACAATACACAAACAACAATACACATACGACACCAGCAGATGTCAGTTTTCGCTCTCTTTTTCGCTCTTCCGCTCCCGTAACGCAGCTACTTGCACGTACTGGAAACAGCTTCTTGCTCGTGTAAAAGTGTTTCTCCGGGACCACCGCGCCAAGTTTCAAGACGTGAATGGGTCCGTCCACTAGCGGCAATTCCAGCACAGCTACTTTGCGTCGCAAGATGGCGAGGTAGTACATGTCTTCTCTCGGCACAGCGCCCTGCACGGCGTACGTGAACGCTCGCAGCGCGTCTCGCAAGTTGCTGTACGTGCACTCGTCGGCGTCCACGAGCGTACCGTCTTCCAGGACGCGCCAGTGACGCAACGCCGTCGTGTCGAGCGCTCGTTCCTGTGCCACGCGCCGAAGCGACTCGAGCGACGCGTTTACGTCCGTCATCGACTCTCTGCGCGATCGTACGGGCGGCTCGGGAGCGTCCAGCGTGTCGCACGTCGACGTGTAGCCCATGGCCAGTACCGTCGATGCCGCGTTAATGTCTTCGTCGTTCTCGTGCGCCTCGTCCGCCTGTTCGGTGCTCTTCTCCTCGTGGTCGTCGCCTGTGAATGAGCTGCGAGACGCCTGCGACTGCGTGATGGAGGGCGGCTGCTGGTGCACCTGTTGCTGCTGCTGGTGGTCGTCACGACGATCGCGCTCCTGCTGCGGCTCGACGACGGGAGGAGGAGGAGGATCCATCGAGTGCGGCGAGAGTGTGATCGCGGTGGGGTTTGCGTCCGCTAGTGGATGCTGCGTGGTGGATGTGGTCCACAGCAAGCGAGCGAGTGGCGCGAGATACCGATATCTACCGGGCGGAGTCGGTGCGGGGTTGTCGTTATTCAGAGGGAGCGAGTTGGGGCGTCGTGCTCGTTTTCGGCGATTTGGACCGACGCGCAACTTTTCCGCTGCTTTTATGAATTCGACAGCGCAATGAATTTAGAAACGTCTGAGCTTAGAAATGGAAACAGGTGTTCACGTTCAGGACAACTACGACAGGAGGTCGAGGCTCGCCATTTGACAAGCCACTGGGGGTTTCAATTTTGTACAACTCGGCTGTGCGCAGCAGCTATGGCTCCGGCGGCGGCGCTTACTTATCCTCACTATTCTCACGCGCATTTGGTTCTCCCAAATATGCAAAATGTAATTCTTGCAGGTAATAAGTGGTCGTTCCTGAAGAGACAAGCGTGACCAAGAAATGGCGATCCAGCAAGATACATTATGTCCAACGCACTACCATGAGCTGCAAAGCGACTGTTGTCTCTTTTCATATTCGCGTCGATTGACAGTTCCACTGCGTAAACAAGAACAATCATCATTAAGCGTTGATAAACACTTCGTAGGTACTGTGGGTCACCATGGCGGTCGTCGCTGCATTGCGTCAAATGTCGCGAAGCTCTCAGCTTTTCTATGGCGAGTGATGATGCATTGTCCATCATAGGTAAACAGTTGGTCCGTGCTCAACAGTGTTTGTCATTCGATATGATGAAATGGTAGCTAGGCGTCAATCTTGCGTCCTACGTTTGAGCTCGATATCGCAGTAGGAGCCGTTGAAACCGCAACGTCAAAGGAGTTACATCCATAAGCTTGTGTGTCGTACATGCCTCGCATCACAACATCAAGGTGTATGTCGATCTTATGATTGTAAAAGTTTGGTGTCTTGATACCACTAAGGCTGTTCAGGCTGCTTATCCATAGCTTCTGTAAGGTCAAAATCTTGTCAAACCTCGACGAAGATGCACAAAAGCCAACGATATTGGGACTCATGTTCATGCGGAGCGGAGCATCAATTATAGCCGTACGAGTGTGACATGCTGAATTGTCAACACATATGTTGTAGATAACGCAGTAGCGTCTGCACAATACAACACTGGTGGATCATCCGCTAGTCAGGCAGCGTAACCTTATTGAGTCGAATAAGATTGCACGCTGCACCACGAAAAAGCGACACATCCGTGCTTCACGTGTCATCATTTCGCATACAAGTGTGTGTATTCGTCGCACTCATTCGCTGCGTGATAAATGCTGAACGATGTCAAAATGTCACGATTCTCCAATCTTCTTCGTTCGATGCGTGAAGAATTATGTAACTCCTAGCTGGGTCAGTAAGAGAGTTGTGTACTTATCACGGTGCAGGAACGGCAGACTATCATATAAATACATTCGGTATTTGACGAACAAATGCTTTACGTTGGATGAATTATCAATCTCTTGCAAGTCGAATATTCCACTTGTTGTCAGCACATGTTGTAAAGTCTTGTCTTCATTCCGCATACATGCGTAGATTATGGTGACATAGCTCATTAGTCTGCTCTAGCATTCCGGTCTACGTTTCCATACTTCTACAGCGTCAGACCATGCGTGATTCTCTTTCATCGACTGCTACTACATGCAGATCGTCGACATCGAAGACCTTCCTGCTTTGTCCTTAGACGCGTTTCCTAAACGCAACACCGACACTCAACTATCGTCGACTAGCACGTATACACCGAAATGCTCAGATAAAGACACCATTCACTGATACTGCAATGTAACGAATATACTTGAGGTCGAACGTCTTGCAGGACAAACAGCCCTTCTTGATCTGTGGTGCGTGACCAACAACTTCGACCGTCAGACTCGGCCCAGCCTATGAGAATTCCATGGTCAATCCAAGTGTTCTTCAATGAGCTGCTCGTGCACGCTCGTCAGCGTACGGCTAAAATCTGATCAAGATCGACTTCATGTCTTGCGTGCAGAAGCGTCGCGTATCTAGATCCATCGCAACCCGGCGGGTGTCAGCAGAGCGTAGACTCAGCCAGAAGTATAGGGCTCGGGAGTGCAGCACAGGGTGTCCCAGACGTTCAGGTTGAGACCACCGTTAAATTGAGAAAGTCCGCCCTAGTGTGATGGGAGGAAGACTCTCTCGCTAGTGCTCCATTTGTGCGTACTAACGAGAAGGAAAGGGCAACCCGAAAGTGCAGATCTGCAATCGTGAAGAAGCCACGCGACCAAGCTACGACGGTTGATCGAAAAAGCACCACTCTTCCTCCAACAATGGCAGACAAACACCAGCTCTCCATCGAGCGCCCTCATCTCTGCTCTCCTCCAAGTGACGAAATCGACTGCCCTCGACAACCGATCGCAACATTCACGGCACTCCTACGTGCAGCCCAATCGACTGATATTGAAACCCCTGCCGAGGTCAACCGTCTTGATGCAACGATAACACCAGAATCTTCGGCGAACAAACGCCGACTTCGGAACCGCGTCTCCTGCCGCAAAACACGTCTCAAGCGCAAGCTTCAGCAGCATATGCTCGAGACCTTGGCTCGTGAACGTCAGGAGCGACACGAGTATCTCATACATCTCGCCACTCAGCTTAGCTCTACTAGCGACCATCGCCACAGCGACTGCGAGCTCTTCCGTGACCTCGCCGCGAAAAGCCTGCACTACGCATTAGTCGACCCAGAATATGGCGGGTGGTTTGACGCCGGCATTGATCAGGAGCCACAGGCTGCCGGAGGACAAACTGGAAACGATAGCGAAAAAGTTGACCACCTACAAATGAGAAGATCCAAGTGCATAAGACGTGGCCGTGACAACGACGTTTCGAGTGCACTCCGAAGGAGATTCCGGACTTCACAAGCTCTAATCTTCGAGCAATGGCAACCAATTGTCGACGAACTGCAAAACATTGACTTGCAGCTGCACCGAATGGACGAGAATGAGCTCGCTACTGGAATCTTTGATCGGTATTGCTACTGGGAGCTCGTTGGCGTGAGTGTAGAGAAAGTGAAACAAGTCGGTGAAATCGCTACTGTTGCCGTCTCCGGCGTCACCCGACTAAGATTTCGCGGCCGACATGTGGAGGAAGTCAGTATCAGCACTATTCGGCGCGAAGAGGATGCTTCTTTTCATTTTGACACCAGCAGCTTAGACACACCAAAGCCTGCCGAGCCGTCAGAAGCAGGTGCCATTGCCTGAACTTCTTTCAACAAAGAGAAAATGCGTCACTTTTGACCGACATTCCCTCTGCCGTGACGTTCGAGATTGTAGATACCGTCGAATAGAGATTGAGAACGACACACCGTATCGAGCTCCAATAGCATGTGTTCTCGTCGCTTTTTGTATGTTTCCTCGTGACCTGAAGCCTTCATTCTCATCCTAGCTTCGGGGGTTCTGCGGACAGCCTTCGTCTAGCAGATGGCACCGCCAACCATTTTCACCGGGAGCGGTATCCTCGTGACATAGGGGGCAGCGATTTCCGAACTGTGCACGGAGGGGACAGTCGTTAAGGGACACGTGTCGCTCGAAAAATTTGAGTGTGATGGCTTCGCCACAACGCGGGCACTTGCGATGGTTCTGCCGCATCTCGCACTCAACCAGCAAATGGTCCGTCAACGTCGAGATTTCAATCACTTGGCCACACATCTTGCATGGCGTGAGCATTTTACACGATTTCCAAAAATGTTGATCGGCATCAAATCTCTCGCTTGCAATACGACAAAAAGGACACATGTACTCGTTCACCGATCCTCCGCCCTCGCTACCAGCAGCGTCCTCAACTCTGTGCTCGAGTTGCACCTCATCTGACGGCTTGGTACGTCCATCTGTGCTACTATTAGCCGCCTTGACGGATGCAAGAGTCCTATCACAATTCCATTTCTTCGCAGTCTTGGCTGCATTAAACGCCGCTTGATAGTCTGCCAGCTGCTTTGGTCGGAGTGATTTCAAGTGCTTATCCACCTCGGTGCCCACGACAAGGTACAGTGACACAGTGATATCCTTTCCACCTTCCCGAATCTCACGACTTTGGTGTGCTAGACAGTTACAGTCTTCAAGAAACGCCATGATGCCAGAGGCCGTAAAGACGCTACCAGGTACCAGATCGAATGCTGCGAGCAACTTCTTTAACACGAGCAATCGACCCTGCAAAGACTTTATCCCTAGCGGCTTCTTCAAGCGCTTGGTAACATGTATCGCTACTGTGACCACGCCTACATTCTCAGCAGCTGCCAAATGTTCCAATGCTGTCACTGCTTTGTCACGAAGCTTTGCATGAGGTTCACCCAGCTTGGTTACTATCTGAGTTATCGTGCTGCCAAGCTGCACAAAAGTAAGAGCAATTAGTCTTTCTCACACGCATCAGCACAACCTGGGGAACGTAGGACGTACGATCCGGCACATGTCATCGTGGTGAACAAGCGCACCAAACGACACCATGCGATCCAGCAGGCAAAAAGCGGAGAGCGCGACCTGTGCAATGCGGTCTCTGATACCACTTTGAGCTAACGTAGAGCACACCTCCAGTACCTCAATCGGTTCAACAGTGTAGTCATTCATCTCTGTAGTAACTTTGCAAATCGCTGCATCCCGGTGGTTCCACAAGTTGCTGTAGAAACATCGTGTGAAGAAAGGGCCAATCACAGCAACAAGTTTCTCGCTTTCTTTTGCAAGTTCTGAAGGAATTTCGTCTGGCTCGGGAAGATTAGTAGCGCCTGAGATGCCACTGAAATGAGAATTCGGAACTCCACGTTTGTTATCCCCCTGTTCGGCACTGTCACCACCACCTGTAGGCTTCCGTTCATTGTAGCCAGAAAAACACCCAATGGCAGAACGACGCAGGACGCCATGATCGTCATCAAACATACTTCCCTTCTTCACAACCTGCGAAACTTCAGCATTCGCCTCTGGCAATGCAGAGTTCGAGAACGAGCGGTGCATGCTTTGACATTGCGGCACCGCTGGACTTCTTGTTGGCGAGCTACCCACCAATCGTATCGGCATGATTGGCTGCATCTCGTTACTATTGACCAGAGCCTCAAGTCTGCCAATCTCTAGCTTGATTTGCTTGGCTTCATCGTAGTCTTCGGCGGCCACCGCCTCTCTTTTCTGCTCTTCGAGTCTTGCAAGTTCCAGTCCAAAGCTCTTGAGTTGCTCTTCTCTCTGTTTCAGATTTTTAGCCTGATCGTAGTCTTCACGAGCGACTGCTCGGTCTTTCGCTGCTCGAATCTCGTGGATCCTGGCTGCCATCTTAGCACTCACCTTCATCTCACAGCGCCAGTCGTGCATCACATGACTCACCGCGTTCCTTTGGTCGACAAACGAGTGAGCAGCCGCTTCGTCGTCTGTCGAGCAGCTCGGCAGCCCGTCCAGAGCTTCTCCACACAGGCGGATTGCCATGATCCCTACTTGATTGTGCCGATTGTGCTCGTTTGCGTAGCAGTTGTGGATCCGCAGCTTCAACAGCGTGGCCTCAGCATGCACGTGTACGGTCTTGAGCTCTCTCGCTCGGTACTGGCTCTGGACATTCGACTTGAGTCGAAAGAAACCCAAGCAACGAAACCCAGTCACGCCATTGGCATCGTCATCGTCGTCCCTATCGTCGATTGCATCGACTGAGCGCCTCGAGGACACAAAAAGCTCCAGCATGCGCGCAATGTGCGTCTCGTGGGACAAAATCTGCACGTGCGTGAGCCGACAACGCCCGTCGTGCAGCTTCAGCACGAGCTCTTGAGGGTACGAGCAGTTTCTGCAGCGCCACATGCACAACAACAGACAGACAGACAGATAGAGAAACAGAGAGAGACACGCGAGCGTTAGCACGAGAGAGAGCGAGGAAAAGAGCCACTGCGTCAACGTCCGAGTGCGACACAGAGAGGCAAAAGAGAGACACTGTACTTGGCAGTCATGTAGCGCAGCGTCGTGTCGACGTGTTGGACGGCGTCGGGCGTTCGGACCGTCGCGTCTCTGCTCGAACGAGTCGCTGCGAGAGAGAAGCGCAGCGTTCCCATGAGCGCGCGCAGTGGGTGAGCGTGTGTGGGGAAAGTCACCCGCTTTACCGACATGTCAGTCGGAAGCGACCATCACTCTGGTGTTCGCCTCAATGTTTGTATGGCATACAAACCCAAGGAGCAAACACCCCACTCAGACCGTCGCCGTCTTATTTGCGCTTTTGGCCATGGCCACGTCAAAGGCGAGAGAGAGCAGCGACGAGTCGGACGGCGGGCGCTCGAGCGTCTCGGGCTCTGGGAGTTCGCGCTCGGGCTCGCAGTCCAGTAGCGGCTCCGAGTCCTCGCGGAGCGGCAGCGGCTCCGACTCGGCGAGCGGTTCGGGCTCGAGCTCGGGCTCGGGCTCCGATAGTGGCTCGGGCTCCGGTAGCGGTTCGGGCTCGAGCTCGGGCTCTGGTGGGTCGGCGTCGGTGTCGGAGTCGTCTGCATCGAAGAAGCGGCGGCCGAAGAAGCGACGCGCGTTGACGCCCAAGAAGGCCAAAGCCGCTACTGCTGCTGCTGCTGCGTCGACGAAGAACAAGAGCCGGAGCCGCACTGGCAGTAGCAGCAGCAGCAGTCGAGGACCGAAGCAGCAGCAGCAGGTGCAGCAACAGGTCAAGATTGAAGTGGATGCAGAGGCCGATGACGAGCGGGACGCGGGGGTGCCGCGCCGTCGGGGCACGCTCCGGATCAAAGACGAAGACATGGACGAGGACGACGACGTGGACGTGACTGGTCTGACGGAAGTCGAGAAGGAGAAGCGACTGCTGGAGAAGTACGAGGCCAAGGAGCAGCGCAACAAGGAGCGGGAGCTGAAGAAGCGACTGGCCGCGTCTCAGGGCAAGGCCGAAGATGGCTTTTCTGAGGAAGAAGAGGGACAGGAAGAGGAGGAAGAGCTGCCGTCGACGCGTCGGGGAGGACGCAGCAGAGAGAGCGACCGACGAAAAGAGGCGTTGCACAACTTGAAGGCCAACAAGTCCAGCGACAAGAGTCGTTCGATCTTGAGCAATCGATTTGGAGGCGACGGAAGTTCCGACGAGGAAGGAGAGAGCAGAAGCGGACGGGATCTGGCTGAAAAGAGGCGGCGCCGCCGAGAGTTGCAACGCGGGGGCACTGGACGACGCCGGAGTCACGCAGACGATGAGGAAGACTACAGCGATGACGAGAGCGATGGACGTAAGGGGAAAAAGTCGAAGATCGTGGACTCGATGGCGGCGGTCAAAACAGCAGATGAGGATGACGTTGCGGCGTCGATTCGCCCGGAGGAGAATGTGCCGGTCAACTGGAATCAAGCCAATTTCTACTTGCTCAAGAGACGCGTGTTTTTTGAAAAGAACTTTTTCGAGCCATTTTTCCCACAACTTGTGCGAGGTGTGTACGTCCGCGTGCCAATTGAGATGGTGGATGGCGAGATGGTATACCGTTTTTGCGAAGTCGTAAACGTGTGCAAGCTGGCGCGTAGCTACAACTTCTGCGGCGAGTCAACGCATATGGGCATTATTTGCGCATTTGGGAAGAGCAGGCGGGAGTGGAAATTGAGCGGTGTTTCAGGGCACTCGCTGCGCGAGCGTGAGTTTTTGCTGTGGCGAGCAGCTATAAACAAAGACCGACTGCACTTTCCTACACACGGTGAAGTGAAGCGCGTGTACTCGAAGAAGGAGAAAATGATTACTCAGCACAGCTACACCGAAGCACAGGTGGATGAAATGGTGCGGCGTAAACAAGCCGTGGGCCTGTCAAGTGTGTCGCTGGGTGTGCAGCGAGTGCGCCTGGAGCGCGACCTGCGTGCTGCTCAGGATATGAAAAACTTTGAAAAGGCTGTTGTGCTTGAAGAACGGCTGCAGCGGTTGTTGGCCAGGAACGAGGAGCGTAAGAAGCACAACTCCGACGACGTTCTTCGCATCAATGAAATCAATCGACGCAACCGTGAGGCCAATATCCAGCAAGATCTGCACGCCCAGGAGCTCAATGATGCCATGAACAAAAAAATGACGAGCGCCGAGCGTCTGCAGTTCGTGCGTGCCAATCAAATGACTATGTTCATGTCCCGTGATAAGCTGGAGAAAAACTTGGCGGAGGGCAAGCTGATCAAGCTTGCTGACGGTCGGGTCATGACCTCGAACAAGCTGCACGCGGTCGAGGCGTTGCCCGATGATCTGCTAGACAAGGTCAAGGGAGCTGGCGAGAAGCGACAGAACGGGGACGATTTAGAGTTCGATATCGATCGTCTTTTGGCGAAACAGCGAGAGCGCAAGCAAAAGGATGCTGAGCGTTTGGCGGCGACGCAGAAGGAACATGCGAGCCAAGTCGAGTTCGTGGGCGTCGCTCCCACGAATGTCCAAGAAAGAGCGAACGCGACCGTTCGTATCAAGGACGATGATGGGTCGTGGATGACGCTTCGTTCGCCTGCCGAGATCATGAAAGCGAAGCAGAAAAAGACTGCAGTCTCGGACAAGGTGAAGGCCTCGCGCAAGGGTATTACAGTCAAGGAGTACTTTGATCGAGTCAAGAAAAGGCGCGTGGCTCAGTAAGCGCGTCTTGGCAGCACGAGAGGTGTTGGCACAAGGACGCACGACATGTGCCTTAGGTCGCTTGCCAACGAGGCCGCAGTATTTTACAATAAACAGTAGAAAAAGAAGTGCGTGCGTGTAGTGTAGATACACTCTGTCGGTGTGAATAGAATGCCTTTGTGGAACAAAAAAGTCTTGGGTTCTGCCGCTGCGGTGTACAAACAGGGGGATGCGTCCGACGGCTCACACAGAGCTAAATTGTCGCATGAATTTATTTTGACGCCACACCTCAAACAATACTTTGGGTTCAGTTGTTGCTTTCATTGGCTCGAGGATGCACAGCGTGACTGTATTCGATGCCAAGTGCTACCAGCAATACTTTCAGACGCCCCCTTTCTTCCAAGCCAGAGATACATCAGGTGAGAAATTGGTCCCCGACTTGAATTTTTGCTGTGCTGTCCACGCCTGGCATAAACGCTGACGAAGGTATTACAAAGAGACGTGTCGAACATCTAATGTACAAGCTTGTGTGCAGAAAGCCACAGGGTCAAATAAAACCATTGCATTGTTCGTAGTCTGATCCGTTCCCGCCTACTTGTGAGTAACTAGCACAGATGAATCATACTTCACTTGTGAAGCTGCATATGACCGCGAAAGCTTGAAGACATCTATCTAGTCACTAGGGTCGCGTTTGTCATGTTTTGCACGGCAAACCTGTGCACAACGCTTGAACGAAAGACGTACAACATCAGCTAGTGATTTGTCCGCAAAGACAGCGTTCAACGTTGTGGTTCATGTGGCAGTTCGAACTTTGATACGTTATCCATTAGTGTGGCTCGACTTCTTGATTGCTTACTGCATAGTCCAGAATGACGTTCGTAATTTACATACGTCTGATGGATTCGACATCACCAGCAATGTATCCGGCACTGGTCGCTTCGTACTGGAACACCAGTACGAAGCCGACTCTCACTGACAACAGTGAAGGTCAGTGCCCTGCTAGGTAGTTGCACTATACAGAGGATGGGTAAACAACTAAGGCAAAGACTAGTTGTAGAAAAGTAAAACTGTTATTTCATATAATTACGTCCAAAAGTGAAAGTCAAATTGTTATTTTAAATAGGTTAGTCCAATTTATCTTGTTCTCTGCTTTGACCTAACTTTATCATATTAATACAACCAAACGTATCATGACCTCTGCTCACCACTCATTGCGCGCGTCTAGCAGCGATTGGTGGGTTGGTATGAGCACAATATCAACCAATGAGTAGACGTTTAGGTCAACAATATCACTGTTTTCAGTGATATTGTTGAAAGAACATTCAACATAATATTATGTATTACCATTTCGCACAATGGTAATTTCATGTAACGGGCTACCCCGTTACATCACCCCCCCCTTAACTGATACTCACGATGTGACAATCAAAACTTGGTGACCACCCGTTGGACACCATTGAGACAGGGAGCACTCGTTTGGTCATATCCATTCATTCCTGGACTTGCCTCGCATAGCTAACATGTCTATGCGGGGTGGCTCAAAGACGGCACAGCATGTTGCTGCGCAAGCCTCCACGAAAGACAGCTCGTCTTCTGCTGCTTCTTCTTTGCCCGCGTCACCTTTTGTAGGTGGTATCACACAACGTGCTCAGGATGGCTTTGAGGTCGGGGTCATCTACTCTGGCGAGTCAAACACGTCTGACTCGGGAAAGGCCTCAAAGTCATCCGAACTACCCGCGGTGTCTCATCCTGAGCCTTCATTAAATGATCTGCCAACCGAACGAAGCCGCTACTTGCGTCACGTTCTGTTCAGCCGTGGTGAAGAATATGGCAGTGAGTATGACAACTCATCATCACAGCCAACTCGTGCGTTTTTGCAAGAGTATGTTGACGATTGGTCGAGCCTTCGGCACTCTGAGAACCGTGGTACATACGTGGGTACCACGTTGATGCGTGATGCGCTTAAGCCGTGGCGCTTGCCCGAACGGCTCATAAATATCTTGTCTCACAACACAAGCCAGCATCATCAAATTCCATTATTCGATGCGAGCGAGCTTCATTGCTTGTCCTCCAGCGCGAGCCACTTTCGCGCTAAAAAAGACTTTTATCTCGATGCTTTTCTTCAGCATCGATTGTACAATAGCAACCAAAAGCGTGATAAGAACTCACTTTTGGCGGCATGGGACGCTTTCGTTCACAACGTAACAAATTCTGGACGTGAGGCGTGATCCAAAGAATCATGAGGCAGTGCGCGTAAATTTTCAAAATCGAACGCCCGCCGGTGAAAGTTATCGGCTGCATCGTTCATCGCGTGAGGCAGGCATTCCTTGCCTCACATGGGGTGATCCTATGTGCGAGTCGTATCGACAATCCGTAGCGTGCTCAAAGCGAATTGTTTTCCCGAAGTTCGCCCTGGGGAAGGGCTCACATTTCGGCTGAGATGCGCGCCGCGATGGCGAACTTGCAATCCGTCTACTAGCTCCAAAAGAGCGTGTTTACCGATGAGTCCGAGGACTAATCGGACTTGTCTTGTCGTACGGTCGGAAGAGCCCTCAACATCCGTCATCAGCTGGGACCGAGTCTCCCAGCTATTATAAGATGGTATATACCACCGCCAGCGGACAAGATAACTTGTCCGCTCCCCGTTCTTCACACGGGGTGTCTCAAAAAACGTCTTACATGAAAGCGTCGAGCTCCGTGCGAGTCCATCAGCGGCTTCGGTGGAGGAGAAGAGACCAGGTCCGACTCAGCCGTCGATCCTGCAGGAAATTCGCGACCGCTATGAACGCGTCCTGACCGAGCTAAGGTTTGACGTGGAGCACGAGTACAAATATCTTCATGCCCTAATGACGAATGTGCGACGTCTTGGTAACGATCGGGATAAGGACCGATCGGACTTTACGTTCGCTGAGCTTGAGAACGAACGCGAGTGTCTTCTCCTGCGTGACGAGCTAGCGGCGGATCGTCGCGAGACTTCGTTGCTGAAGGACCAACATGAGAGTTTGGTACGTAATAACAAGAATCTATTAAGAGGTCTTGGGCATGTTGTCCGTCTTCGTTTTTGGAAGAGAACTCGTACTGATCGTAAGCGGAGACGCCCAAGATGAATCGTAGGACGCATGCTGTAGCGGGGCACACCCCTTGCGTGAACTTAACGCAAGGGTAACGTGTGCCATACAAGCGTACACAGGGCAAACGAGGAAGCGGTAGGTAAAACAGAACCCGAAAGCTCTGTCTTGAGGGAAAAGCAGAAGTCTTTATTTAATATAGTTATTACGTTAATAAATCATCTTTGACTTACTCTAACTATATTAAACTATATTCTCCTATGTGTGTCCCTTGCTCACCACCCATTGCGCGCGTCCAGCAGCGATTAGTGGTTGAGTTGGTTGGTGTACACCGTACATCAACCGAGAAGTGGACCCCGCCACGGATATCATCCTTAGCGATAATAATCCGACAACATCACTCATTTCGAGTGATGTTGATTGAATATTATCAAAACGGATGATATTCAAAATTGGTACTTTCGTACCAGTTTTTATGAAACATGCTCACCCCGTTACATCACCCCTCCCTTAACCATCAGTCACTATGGTGAATGATATGATTGGTTGTGACAGAGTGGCTACCGTCGTGTCGCTCTGGGGACGGGGAGCTCTTGTTGGTCTTTTCCTTTTCATTTCCAATTCGCAGGCCATGACGAGCAAGGCCGCGATTAAAGCGGCTGCATGGATTCGTGCAGCCGGTGAACAAGACGCACAAGATTCAGCATCAGGTGCTTATCCGCTTGCTGTTGCTGACAAAAAGCCTGCAACTCCCGTAGTTGCAGGTCTACGTGGTCATCCACCTGCAGCTCCTTCACCCGCAGGGTCTGCTGCGGGTGGTAGTCCGATGGACCATGGCCCCGACATAGACGTGGTCTGTTCGGGCGAGTCGGACGCACCGTCCGACTCGAAATCGTCTGTTAAGCCCGACCGGAAGGTCGCGGAAACGAAGACTGCTGCGCCTTGAGGCAGTCTCGACAAAGAGCTGCAGTACGATATATTCGGTTCATCCGACGAGTTCGAGAACTCGTCACCGGGATCGAAATGATCGCGCTCGTATTCGGATGACGAGAGCATACAACAGAAGGATGTAAGTCCTTATGTGGGTGTCGATGACTCCGTACGGAGTCACCGTAGCCATAGTTGTGATAGTGGTGCCGGTTACATTGGCACCACGCAAGAGGAGCAGGATCGTGATGCCATCCGATCTTCTCCTGAGCGCAAGCCATGGATGCCATCTGTGAGAGAGAAGAGAGAGTGGTATAATTATACCACTGGGGACTGTCAGATCCCACTCTTTGACTCATCAAAGCTCCATGGTCTTGATGTCAGTTCGAAGTATTATAGCACTGAGCATGATTTTTACGTCGATGTCTTTTTCAGACATCGATGGTTCCACTTCAACAAGAAGAAAATACCCGCACTTGTTGGTTCAGGCGTGGAACGCGGTTATCGCCCAAAAGTTTGACTGTTGGTCGACAATCTTGGCTGGACAAGCTTGATGCTGCTCGCAGCAAGTTTGAACAGAAGTCGCATGTCGGTGCACGGTATAACTTGCACCGATTATCTCGAGAGACAGGTTTACCTTGCCTCTCGTGGGGAAAGGTATGTCTGAGTTGTGTAGACAACTCAGTTCGCGCCCCTAAGGAGGCGTACCTCCTTAATCTGCCCTACTGGAGAACGCGCATCGCGTCTGAGATGCGCGAAGGGATCGAGAATTTGCAATTCCTTTACGACCGCGGCGATCGTTCGTACTACGATGGCCCTCCACCGACAAAGATTGCTTCTAGTCGTACTGATCTACGAGACCGGCCACAACCATCTCCATCTGGGAGCGAGGCTCCCAGCTGTTCCAAGAGGGTGAATACCCCCTCCACTAGACGAGGTAAATCGTACTTGATCCTGAATCGTCACGGTGGTTCAAGATACGCTCCACAAGGAAGCGTTGACCACCGTGTGAGTCCATTAAAGGAT